GGGGGGGGGGGGGTGTATATTAAATGGAATGGCCCCTAACTACACTTTTATACAACCTGCTTAACTACGTGATTAAAGTTAATCACTTTTTAACTACTTTTTAACTGCAGTTAGCGCTAACTACGTTTTTATACAACCGGCCCCTGCCCTCTACACAAAATTGGAGAGAATCAACTGGAAAAATGGCTGGCTGAAAATGTTACAATGTAACAAACAAACATTCTATTCTAGTATAAAGTACTAATAGTTTCATAACATTATACAAATGTTTCAAAACGGTGTTCTGAAAAGCTTCTGAAAAGTCGCTTGAATGTAGAAAAACAATTCCCTGGCAAGTCTGGCAAAATAAATTCGACATACATTTGTTTGTTGGTTTTACCATTTGATATAGGCACAGCAAATTATCTTATCAACAATTACAATTTTAGATTATAAACAATACTTAATGTTCCATTACAAACAGTTTTAAAAGATAAAAAGTGTGTCGTTTATATTTGATGGTTAAATTCCGTGGATGTTGAGTTCTCTTGCCATTTGACACATTGCACAGATCCCACAGCATGACACTGCTTGAGAGTCCCCCACAATACTTCCCTTTCGAAATAAACAATGAAATAATTAACTAACTATATTTATATTGGATCTAAACCGTTCTCCCCTAGAGCACCAGTACGACCCATCTCTCTTACTGGTTTAAATGTTACCATGCATACTACAGGTGGAAACCTAAACTAAACTAGTTTTATTTACTATTCAAAAAAGTTTGTCCTTTGCATACCTTAAACTCTAAACCTTAAACTTTAAACTCTAAGCTTGCAAAGCATGAGGGGGCCCATGCATTTATTCACAAATAGCTGCAATATTCAACTACTATAAGATTGAAACTTGTGCTCCCATTAAGCTTTGTACGCTTGGAGTTTAAGATTTAGAGTTTAAGGTTTGCAAAGGGCAACCTTTTTTGAATTGGCTGCATACTACATAGCTCTGTCAGTTCTAAACTGCTCTGCCTAAAGGACCCAGTCTCGTATACCCAGGCGCTTTGGCATGCTACGCCGTTAGAAGACGAGAAAGAGCCATCACTTACCGCAATGTTATGTCTTGTCCTGATCTTGGTTCTCAAGGCAATTGGACACATGAATCCCACACAACAACACTCACCAGCTTTACTACTGACCATGCATTGAAGAATGCACGGGCACAACCAGCCAAGAAGACCTGAAAACAAAATCAAATTCATAGAAACTAGTACGTCATTATGTACAACATTGAGGTTGTTGGTGTAGCATGCGCAAGTTTCAGTTAGCACTAGCTTCATACGGTGCCCCCAGTGTCAATGGTTCTGAAGCTCTCCCACTGAGTCGCATTACGCCCCAGTCAATGCGCTCTACTTTATAATTTTACTGTCTAATGCCAAGCTATTTTACTCTGTCTAACACCAGACAATTTTACTCTGTCTAATATTAATTCACCTCAGCACTGGAAGAGAAAACGTAACGGGGGAATGGTTGCAAGATGGGCCGGGGGAATTTTCACTGGGGAACGGAAGAACAGACGTGGCACTTCTACTATGATGCAATTTTGTTTGGTCCTTTGATAGTTCATAGTTCGTGGACAATTTCCCACTTTGACCCATCCCTCCCCCCCTGACTTACAAACATCACAGTCAGGGGCGGATCTAGGGGTCGTCAAACCAGTCACGCGACTAACGTAAAAATTGCAAACTTAAAGTCTTAAATATTCGACCAATAGTCCAGTTATTTTTTATCATGCAGCGACACCTTATAATAGTCCAGTATCAATTATCATCCAGCGCTAGCAATTAACATTCCAATCGAACTGTAGTCTAGTGATCAAATTTCATACAGTAGTTGAGCCGACGAGCTTAGTCAAGTCAATGAGCAGCTGACATACGCAAAGTCGGTCAGTCAAAAAGTCGAAATCCAGTGTTCTGATTGGTCTAGACGCTTATTGCCATGGAAACAAGCGATTTTTTGCGATTTTGACTGATCTGTGGGGAGTTCTGACCGATTTACAAAAGTCAGGGGCACCCATTAGTTGGAATATCATTAATATTTGACGCGTGTTAAAGTCTTTCCGAGCGCGCGCTCATTCGAAGTGTCATGTTGGAGCTCTACTGACGGAAAATTCGCAAATGTCTGCTGCTCCAGTCCTTGTAGTATTCACGAATTGGTTCAATCCGCATTTGCGGTGAACGATTTAGCTGTCTTACAAGACTGTTGCGCTGATCTTGGGAGGAAAATCGACGCTAAATATCGGAGAGTTCGATTCAGTGAGCAGTTGCTAGTCTTGCTAGGCGCCATGAGTAGCACCAACTACAGTTTGACTGTTTGAGTAGAAGTATTGGCGCCGAGATCTTTATTCTGAAGTGCAATAAGGTAAATTTAATATGATATGTAAATTTTATTTCGTTTTAGACAGCATAACAATATTTATAAGCGAACAAGATGCGCGCCATACATATGTTAAATTGTAACTTGAATACGCGAACCTTGATTTAGATTTATCTATGAGTTTTGATTTACACAACAAATTTGCATATTTCTAATTCTGCGGTTGAAGGACCGTCAGAACTCAGAGTCAGAAGGTTATTAATATGGAGGATAACCTATATAAATGCATTAATGCAGTACACATAGGATATATAGGGTCAGGTTTTATACATGAATGTTAAGACTTTAATATTGATATATGTTTATTTGAGTAATATGACACTGTAGTGATTACTGAGTGTAGTACTATCATGAGATAGTTAAACATAATACTAGCAATCCGTAATTTGATGAAATGAAACATCTTCCCCAATTACCACATTTTTGCAAGTACTTCTCGGTCTTCTCCTTCACTTTTCCCTAAGGAGCGAGTTGTGATCTCGAGTCAGTCAGACTGATAGTTGCTATAATTATCTCCCATTTCATGAAGTTAATTTTCTGTTCAAGCTGCTTTCAGAGTGATGCAAATTGCGTTTCTGAGATTTAAAAATTCCTGGGGGACAGACCCCCCTTGGTGCCTCGCGCATTCGCCGCTCGCAAAACTACATTGTACATCCGAAAACTTTGACTAACGTACGAAAATTCCTGGATCCGCCCCTGATCACAGTCATCAAAACAAGCACACATTCCAGTGCTCCATCCTCGTTGTCCCTGGACAATCACCGTTGCAGGTTGCTGTTGTATTACAACTGTTGCATTCTTGTTGTGCACGGTGCTTGTTGGTTGTTGCTGCACGGGAAATGAGGGGCAGGCACCTGGAAGTGGGTATCCAGGTAGGGTCGTTGGGGCAATTTTAGAGCTCGTGTCAATCTTCTTTTGGTGGTTCTATAGCGGAAGTTTGGGAGTTTGTTATACACACGCAAAAATCTCACATCTTGCAGCAACTCTGTCAACAAGTTGTGCTCACACTGCTTGTCCCAAGCATGGGCGTACCGGAAGGAAAAAATTAGGGGGGCGGAAAGAAAATTGCCCGACTTTTCGGGATTCTGCCCGACTAGTACCAAAAAATTTTTTCCGGAAAAATTATTTTGTCGACCTCCCCTTTTGAACACTTTTGTCGCAAATACGCGACATTGTCATTGAAAAACATCAGCTCTTCACTTAGTTAAAAACATATATTTCTATACTATACTATATTCTAAATTGTAAACCTAGCAGTCATTTGGCATTTTACAGGTTTATAATTATAGTTTTGTTTGCTATACAGGGTGTCTAAAAAAAAACGCTACGGAAATTCAACAGGCTGTGCATGTTGTGCATCACAAACTTAACAAAATTCACCGTATATGAGCTGTTCTGCAATCTGATTGGTTGAATTACTCGCTGTATATCAGCCAGTGATATCAGCTCATATATGGCGAGTAGCGAAAAACAAGATGGCGGTCCAATAACTACATGCGTTTTGCGAAGCAGAAAAAAGGAAAAATTCGCTTTGAGAAAGATATTAAATAGTACAAGGAAAAACTCTTAAAAAAATTTGACAGGTTAGCAAAATACATTTATTATATAGAAATTAGTTTAAATACAAGTTTTTTTAAAGAATTAATATCGAAACAACAGCGAAAAAAACATGTTCATTGAGAATATTAGAATATAAATTGTTCAGAAAAGTTTGCAACAAAAGACAAATGAATTTGCAGTCAACAAGCACTTACTATACTACCAAACATCTGTATAATATATCTGAGCTTTTCTGTGAGATATACCGGTTCTAAAACCATTTCTTTCACTTCGTCTTCGAGTTGTAAAACAAAAGTATTTCAAATTTTCAAGGCCAAGTGGTTTTGTCAAGACATTGTAAAAGAGGATAATTAATTATTGCTTCAGTTAATGGCTATTAGACTATATTATAAAACAATTATACCTTCGCTCTCGTCGTATATGGACTCATATACGGACTCGAGCTCATGTATAATTGTTAATTATAATATATGAAAATACAATGACGTAAACATAGGAATCTGCATGTATAATGAGCTACACAAATAAATCACTCGATAGCCAATGGACCTTTAACCTTATAACTAAAATTTTGATCTAGACAAAAATTTCATCACAGCTTGAAAGAACATCACAAAATTAGTAATATTCCAAAGTTTCGTTGCGAAATGTTGTAAAATGTGGATAATATAGCCCTGCGAAGTTTCAGTCAATTTAGATTACAAACGGGAAATTGATACCCAAATCGGGTGTTTGGGGCTGCAATTTCCCGTTTGTAATCTAAAATGATTGAAAATTGCAAAATTTTTCACTGCGTGAAAATGGCGTGTTGTGCCCATGTATGGATATGCCACGCCATTTTGACGTACTATATGGCGTGGCGATGGACCGGGCGGTCATGGCGTATTAAGCCTAGTTCACATAAAATCGTTAAGCAGTCGCAGACATGTGCCGAAATTTTATATGAACGATCTGCGACGGATCGGGCCGATCCGTCGCCGATCCGGTCTCAGACAGTCTGTGCGAATCTGCATTTGTGTTCATATAAAAATTCGGCACA